CCACTTTGCAGTAGCAACAGACTTAGAGAGAGAGGGAAAGAGACGAGAACATTGGATAGAAGTATTACATCCCCTAAGTTCTTTCATTGGAAATATATTATTATATAACGACAAACTCCTGTGCTCATCTGTAACATTAAAACGTTACTGCAACTGTTTTTCCTCTGGTTGCTCTCTGCTTATTATTGGTACTTGTTTTGTTGTTGTTGTTGTTGTTTTTTCAACTAGAGGATCAAGACCGCTAAACATCGTTCTGCCACGGTTTGGTCCCTGACTGAAGTGTAATGATTCGTATAATAGGATTATATCTATGCTGTTCTAGTATTATTAACAACATATGTTTCAAAGCCTTACAAGACGTAATTGGTAAGTAGTTTGTTGTAATTAATGAATGGCGTAAAAACATCACCATTATGCAATATTATATCCAATTAAGGCCAAGCATGGAATTCTAGGCTTCTGGTCAATAGAGTTCCCATGTATGAAACTCATCAAGTGAAGTTATAACAAAACTTAGTAGCAGCATTTTAATGCTTTGCTATTTTCACAGTCAGAACAATTGTGCAAATAAAGTTCTAAAGTTTATAGTAAAGCATACAAAGGTGAATTTCCTTTTTCATTACCTGGGACAGGTGTGGCTTAATGATTACTTTGCGGGACTGTAAATCCATGGTCTATGGTTCGCAGCCTTTTCGCATAAAATCGCACTCCGCACCAATGGCCGTGGAATTGTGTTATAAGTGTGGTGGTCAAATGTCACTATATGATCAGGGTAGCTTAAGATTTATTCATGGGTAATGTTGATTAGCTGCCTTACCTCCAATCTATTAGTATAAAATTAGAGACAGCCTAGATAGCCCATGTTTATTTCTGCACAAATATTTGAAACAAACAACGTTTAAGCATGGAAAGTATAAGGACATTCATATGTGAGCTCATAGTGATGTAGATGTTACATCTCCCAGTTCCCTTAAAAATATATATGGGGCAGTCTCTAATGACAATTCTCTACACTTTTGGGGAATTGTCATGAAAACAAAACTTAATATATGGTGTTAAACACTGTTTTTATCAAGGTTTGTTTGTGGAGCGCTATTAAATTGATTTCTTCCAGCATGTACTGGTACCATATGCTAGTTTTTTGCTAGCTTCTTTCTATACAGTTAAGACACTGCATGGGGTACCATGACAGTTAGTTCAGACCCTAAATTTGATCAGTATGTTCATTCAAGCAGAACCCTTATGACATGCCTTTGGTACAAGTATATGGGAATTCTAAAGAATGTTGAGTATTCTCACCCTGGCTCATTCAATTGTCAATAAGGATCAGTGAAGCATTACCATGGTGATAAAATTTACATTATATAAGGGTATGGAAGAATACGCCCCATAAAATAGAAAGAATGACAAAATATTCTCTTGTCCTAAAACGTTTGCCCAGTACTGTATTTGCTTGGTTTAAAATTCATTTTTATGTTGTTCATTACAAATGCACAAGTTATAAGAACCGAAATATTTCAGCTTATATTTTCAAGATCTTCCATACCACTGGGTCAGTTAAGGACGGCTAAACCTGAACTCTTCAGACGTCTCTGTCTGTTCATTTAGCCCAAATATCAAATAAGGTACAGTTTAGGATGAAAATTCTACTATAAATTCGTTGCATTAATCTTCGTTTACTTTTTCTTTTTGTTCTCCCTTTGTTTCTCGCTATGTATAAAACGCTGTTGTTATTAAATTTCATTATCAAAATATTTAGCAGCATAAATATAATGACAATAAAGAATGTCGGAACTTAAATTAATTAGATAAAAAATGTAAACCAACATTTTTTTCTTGCAGGTAAAAATTTCTAGGAGACAGAAGAATGAAAGGTAGAAAAATAAAGCCCTCATAAATATGCTAAATATACATAAAATGTTTCTCTTGCACATTATTCATATCATACAGGGAACAGTTAACTGCGCGGTATACAATATTTCATCCACTTTTGTGCAAAACATGATTCGGATCAACACAGACAGTTAGATGGCTGGTGTACGAGTTTTGTTTTTATCTTCTTTCTCTCCAGAACTGATCTAAAGAATGAGACTTATCTTCGTTCTTTACAGAGTAATGTCTAGAAGTGAAAGAAATTCATGTTTTGATAATGTAAAGAAATATGATCTAACGAATAGTACAGCTGTCGTTATTGAGTACAGGTAGTAATATTATCATACTTACGTGTTTTATTTGAATAACAAAGACGCTTGTATCAAACTATATACACGTGTTCAAGACATCCGCTTTCCTCTTTTACAGTGAGATTATAGATTAGTACGATGAAAGAAAAATATTATTTGTTTCAGAATATGCGCGAAAAATTATGCAAAGGGTTAACTGCACGTAGCCGTCTGATAAACTAGAGGTTAAGGCAGCTAGTCAAAACACCCACCGCTAACCATTGGGATACTCTTTACCCGTCGGTCTGGTATCGCCTGGTGGTTAGAGCGCCCACCTCTCAACCTGCGAGTCGAGGATTCGACTCACATCACCAAACGTGCTTGACTCTTGCCCTTTAAGACGTGGGGGCGTTATAATGTGACGGCCAATCCCATTATTCGAAGAGTAGTCCAAGAATTGACGGTGGGTGGTGTTGAATAGCTGCTTTCCTTCTAGTCTATCACTTCAAAATATAACAACGTAAAATTATTCTTTAATAAACTTTTCCGTTACTCTTGTTTTACGTTTTTAGTTCATTTTTCTGTATGTTGTAAATTACGTTCAGTGAACAGACATAAAGTTTTCCAGTCAGCAGTAGGTTAGAACCTGCTTAAATTCAGTGCATTTGAACAAGTCTTTTCAATGATTTACCTTATTACCTTTCCTATTAAGCTCGTATCATTGACATTATCTTTTAGATAAATCACTTGTCCCAGTCTTCTAACTTCACTTAAAATTGAATGTTAGTTAATCGATGAATCGGGTATTCACCAAATTAAAGTTAGTTTCAAGTATATATTGAAAAGATGTTTAGACTTAATGGTTATCCATTCATTATGGCAAGATTCGAGTTCTATTTGCTGTAAAAACATGATAATTCAAGTACAAGTTTTCTTATCCGAATCAGTTTTAAAGCGATATTTTGTGTAAAGTTTGCTATAGAAATTTTAAACTATTGCAGATACATACAATAGAATTAGCCAATAAAAGTAAACTGCAGAGTACTATAATAACGTTTTGTACATGGTAACTAGTTATCTGATAAACAGCTGTAAAGTGCTGTATTAGAGTCGTGAACATGGAAAAATAACTATCCACTAAACATCAGATGTATAGTGGTATGCCAGTATCCTGTAACTGTAAAGCAGTTATCGAATAAATATCTGTAGAATACCACATCAGAAGTATGTATGTAATAAATTAGTATTCAATCTATAGGGTGCTTTATAAGTAAATAATGTTGAAAATATTTTTAAACATTTTGTACTACATAAGACGTTTAGAAATACTTATCAACGTCCCCATTTTGGAGTTTTATATTTTCAAGAAATAACAAACCTAATAACTATATTTTGAAAGAAAACAACTGTCTTATTGTTCTTAAAGACTAAGTTTAGATATTCTTTGCTTCTAGAACACTCAGATTAACAGGAACCAAGATTTGATATAGTAGTCAAAAGTCTGCATTTTTCAACCTTTCAAGAATAAACATTGAGTTCATGATTTAGGTCAAGTGCGAATAAAGAAAAAGATACTCAAACTTTAAACGAAAACTGCGTGAATTACTAAAAAAAATAAGCGACAAAATCTATCCATTTCTATAAATTTTGGTTAATAATTTTTTCATATAGCCACCATAATATATTGGTCAGTTCTTCGATTGAAAACTAGGCTACAACACCTTATGATTTTAGTTTGTCTATTAATTTAACTTAGCAGCAATTAACGTAGCTTATAAACATCTTCTATTTTTCAACTAGAGGAATCAAATAGTATTATTTATATTTGTTTCTTCTATACTAATATTTAAATCGAATAATTTTATATAATATAACATAGTATACTTCAGGTTAACTTAGTAAAGGTAAAAAAAATAGCATCTCTACATTCATTTAGTTTTGCTATTAAACTCCTGATGAATAATTAATATCAGAAATATATTTGGTATTTTAATAAAGAGACACGAATTGATTAGCTTAGTTTATGTAAGTGTCACTGTGTTTTAGGGGGATAGGGGAACATTTATATGTTTAAAAACCAGAACTAGAATAGGTCAGGTTTTTTTCCCTACTTACAAATTTAACGTGCAATAAAGGCCGGAAATATTTAGTGTATTTTACTGGAATGCACATCAAGCAATTAGCTTATTTTATCTATTTATATATATTTATCATTCGATCCATAGTAATATTCTTTGATGTTCAATGGAAAGTCTTGTCAACACAACAAATAGTGTATTTGAGATGTTCTTTAGAGGCTGATTACGTTATATTAAAAATTTCTTGGAACCTCACCACGTTACAGACTCTGTCGCAACAACCGGGCATGCACTGACGAGCATGCTTCTTCAAAATAGTCCTGGAGTTTTTATTGCTCTGTTGTAAGATTTTCATGTTCAAAGCACACCCTCCCGCCCCGAGGCTTTCCATAGTCACATTTAGTGTACGATAACGACGTTTTCCTAGCACTCGTTTCAACAGTACGATTGCACACAAATCCATATTCGCTGTATCCGACAACTTTACTATGTCTTCGCGTGGAATAGAATGAATACACATTTCATTATTTAGTTATAACATAACGTACTCAACCATTTGTATTTACTTGATGTTTTGGAAATCATTCTGGATTAATAAAAAAATGTACTTAACTTTTTCAGTCTTTTTTATATGATATCGCACATTTTCCTAACTTGCTGAAATCTTACTTGAATTAAATACACCAAGTATTTGCTAAAATTTATAACCTAAGATCTAAATCTAAAAGGATAATACAACTTTCTCTCTCTCTCTTTGTACAGTGGCTAACCCATCCGAAGCTCAGAGAACTGAAGATGCAGATTCCAGCGTACAAGAGCCTGTTTCAACGAAAAGTACAATGTTTTTTATAACTTTTTAATTATCTGTATTTTAAAAGTATAAATTTATGTACGACTCTGGAATATCAGATGTTTTACATTGTCTAATTCTTTGAATTATTTTTGACAACCATTCTGTTAGCTAAAGTTAGAGGTCACAATACAAAGAGTCCGGTTAATATATAATATTAATAGTAAGACTAATATTATATTCTAAAACGTATAATATATGCATGGTGCACTAGATATATGGAACAGACGTCTAATGACATACGTCGTCCAAGACGGTTAAAAATAAATGTCATAATACAAGTCTGGATGACCTGATTTTAAAGTGGCTGGATAAATAAATGTGTGTATGCTATAATATTTACAAACGTAGTAGCTTATATGTAGGAATTAATACTGCGAATACCATATTACCAAGTTTTTTTTCAACATAATATTTTGTCGTAAACGACAAACGGATTATATTCTAATATGTCATTAACATAACTAAGGCTTTTAAGTTTCGAGAAGTCCAATAAACAACTTATTAGCTGGAAACTTATCACAACTTGTTCATAAATTGTAATAGTTTAAACAATTAGTAAAAGAAAAGCTTGATTTAAATATATAATCAATTATTATAGCTTGATGTTTTTAAAATTAAGTATTATGCAAAAAATCATTCCTTTCTTGTTTAAGTAGTATTTGAATAAAATTTATTTTCATCTCTTTGTTTAGCTAACAATTATTCACATGGTATTTAATGTGGTGGATGTGTAAAATGAGTACATGGTTAAAAATTATTAGTGTTTATTTTCAGAAAAAATTAAATTATAAAAAAATTAACTTGTAAAGGAATGAACTCTGTGTGAATTATTTTTAACCTCCCTTTGGAGGCAAAGAAAGTAGAAAGACCCTACTTGCTATAAAATTGTTTTAGGCCCTTGACGTTTAACTTCGTCATAAAGCTTTTTATTCAGCGATATTTTGCTTGCAACTTTTTTTTTCTATACAGTCTACTTCCTTTAAACAAGTGTTTACCTAAATTATCTAAGTACGAACGTGATATAAAAATCCTATAACGTCGACGTGAGGAAGGAATGCCTCTGAGATTGCGTCTTGATTAATGTGAATTTACTTTATTAAATACATCTTTTGTTCTAGTGGATAGTGTTTTAATATCAAAGTTCTAAATTTTTTGTGAGATCAAATAACCACTATTTAAGTAACATGTGCAACTTTGCAAAGATTTTGAAACAATTCAAAAGAATACGAGGTTGTAAGATGAGTTTGTAAATACCACACTTTCTTCTTTCTCATACTTGGACATTTCCAGATCCTATAGATAAATGTGATATCAGTTAATCAAGATATTCAAAAAAAATAAAACCTAAAACTCTCTACTGCATCACATAATTATTCATAATCAGTTACTTATTAAAAAGTAAATAGCGTAAAAAATAAAAGCATAATAATATTATTCAATCGTAAGTTCTAAAACAACAAAATCTGATGATTATTGATTTTGACTCATGTTAATTTTGTTTTTACTTATGTAAAGAATTAAATTGTCTTTTAAGAGCTAAAAGTGTAAACGCACTATACCCATTTCAGGGATCGTACACCTATATATAGTTATAAGCTCTCAAGCTTACCATGAGCCATTTGAGGGCTTTAAAAATAATTTCTTTGTTAGATGTTAAAGATCTTCATGCAGCAGTAGGTTTACGGGTAACGTTTGGATCTGGTTCCTCGGCATTTGATTAGTTTATTTAGAGCCGCGCGTAACCTAATGGTTAGCCTAGTGTGAATCCGATGGACCATGGTTCACGTTCTGTCGCAGAAAAAAATCGCGCTTCTCTCTTTGGACTATGGGTGTGTTGTAAGTCGTCAAATACCACTAATTGAAGAGAATAGGCCAAAGTTGATGGTGAGTGCTATTGACTAAATGCTTTCCCTCTTGTCTATCAGTTCAAAATTCGGGACCCTGTCGCAGGGAGCTCTTGTGTAACTTTCGAAACATTAAAACCTGTCAACTTCTCTGCTAGTGGATCAAAACGTTGTCTGTAACAAGATCTCTTAAGATCTTCCTATTCAAACAATCAACAATTTTCTGTAACAAAATCTTATAAGATCTGTTCAAACAATCAACAATTTTCTGTAACAAGATCTCTTAAAATCTTCCTGTTCAAACAATCAATAATTTTCTGTAACAAAATTCTTAAGATCTTCCTGTTCAAACAATCAACAATTTTCATCAGTTTCTACGAAAATGTTTGATAAATTTATGTAAAAAAGGTTTTTATTTTGTCTTTCAAAAGGGCTCTGATTTATATAGATCATTATCAAACATAATTTCACGACAATGTCTATATAATGAGCTTTATACTACTTATAACCTATACTATTTTTCTTTCTCCACCAGGTGACTCTGTTGTTGTTCGGCGAATGCATTCAAGTGAAGGAGCATTAACTCGTGGAGTCGCGCACGATAAAAATAGGGTAATGGATCGTTCGGATACTAAATTAGAAACTTTACCAGGTGTGGACGCTACCGGGGCGTGTGACAAAGCTGCCTCTAGGTACATTTCTAAGATTTAATAACATTTATTTTTTACTATACATAGCACTATTACACTGTAAGATTTGTAAATTTTAAGCGCTTCTTTACTGTAAACCCACTATATCCATTAGTCATGAACCCATTATTTTCAGTAGTTATGAACCCGTTATGTCCATTAATTATAAACCCATTATCTTCAGTAATTGTGAACCCGTTATGTCCATTAGTTATAAACCCATTATCTTCAGTAGTTATGAACCCGTTATGTCCATTAGTTATGAATCCATTATATTCAGTAGTTATGAGCCCATTATGTTCAGTAGTTATGAACCCATTATATTCAGTAGTTATGAACCTATTATATTCAGTATTCATGAACTCATTATATTCGGTAGCTATGAACCCATTATGTTCAGTAATTATGAATATATTATATTCAGTAGTTATGAACCCGTTATATTCAGTAGTTGTGAACCTATTATATTCAGTATTTATTAACTCATTATATTCAGTATTTATGAACTCACTATATTCAGTAGTTATGAACCCATTATATTCAGTAGTTACGAAACTATTATATGCAGTAGTTATGAACTCATTATATTCAGTAGTTATGAACCTATTATATTCGGTAGCTATGAACCCATTATGTTCAGTAGTTATGAACCATTATATTCAGTAGTTATGAACCCGTTATGTCCATTAGTTGAGAACCAGTTATATTCAGCAATTATGAACCCATTATATTCAGTAGTTATGAACCCATTATGCCCATTAGTTATGAACCCACTATATTCAGTAGTTATGAACCCGTTATATTCAGTAGTTATGACTGTCTGTTGTAGAGCAAAACTACACAACATGAAATCTAGATTTTAGCATTGTAAGTCCGTAAAATTACCATTTACTTACTGGAGGATCATTAGTTATGAACCAGTCATATTTATTATTTATTGTGTATTCGTGTTAAAACGTATTCCTCTTTAATTTATATGTATTACATTTATTACAGCTCTTTAGCATGTTTAATAGGCTTAAAACAGCATAAAACTGTTTAAAAACAGAGCAACATAATTTAGTCAAGAAAAACTAAATTCTAAGAAGAACCTAATATCTTGCTGATTTGTTGCTTAATGAAAGTAGAAAATTGGTTAAGTTTATCTTATGTTTCTTAAGTAGGCTTTCTTTGTTAGAATGCACGTTGATGGTGTATGTCTTATAGAAAAATGGCTATTTACAAGTGTATATTTACTGTGACAGAAATAAAGAGTTTCTTATTCAATCACCTACTCACCAAAAATATCTCCACAACTGTTGAATTTCTTATATTTACTAAGCATAAGATACAAAACTTCATTTTCTCGAGTCTCCCGTATAAAAAGAACCCGACTAAGTAGGAAAATATTATCATTATTAAACTGGATGTCATGTTGAAAAACTTGTGTTTGCAACTGCATCACTGTAATAACAATCTTAATAGTTTTATATAAACATATTTTGTAGTTTTTCATAGCAGTATTTGCTCAGCCATTTAACAAATTCGTTGTCATTACTTCATATTCATTATAAATTAGTGTTCTGTACATTACCTGTCCATCACCTATGTTTGTGTATTACTCAAACTGTAGTTAATAAAGAGTATTGTATTGTATTTGACTTATTTAGGAAGTTCAGTTCCGCGGGTCCCCTACGAAATTGGTCCCGAACTCCCTGAGTCCGTAATCCTGTTCTTTCCAGAGATGTAACATATAATGAACAGGAGATGGGGATATATAAACAAAAATGAAAGAAGGAATATGGTGATCTTTGTAAACGTAATCAACACAATTTATTTTATTCATTGGACCTGCCCCCAGTGGTACAGCGGTATGTCTGCGGATTTACAACGCTAGATTCCGAGTTTCGATACCCGTGGTGGGCAGAGTACAGATAGCCCATTGTGTAGCTTTGTGCTTAATTACGAATTACAAACAAATTCATTGGACCAATCGGAAACGTCTTGTAAAAACTAAATATTCAAATTAACTTGAATTGCCCATTAAGTCTCACAATCTGTTTTATAAGCAGCATATGGTGACAAAACCTTTCTGGCACATGTGGAAATAATTGTTCCAATGACCAAATTATACTTGAAATCTATAGCATATTGTCTGTTTGTTTGTTTTTGAATTTCGTGCAAAGCTACACGAGGGCTATCTGCGCTAGCCGTCCCTAACTTAGCAGTGTAAGACTAGAGGGAAGGCAGCTACTCATCATCACCCACCGCCAACTCTTGGGCTACTCTTTTACCAACGAATAGTGGGATTGACCGTCACATTATAACGCTCCCATGGCTGAAAGGGCGAGCATGTTTGGTGTGACGGGGATTCGAACCCGCGACCTTCAGATTGCGAGTCGAGCACCTTAACCACCTGGCCATGCCGGGCCCGCCATAATTGTAAGTGAATCACACACGGAATACAAGTGCGATAGTAATAGAGAAGATAGTTCGGTTTGTCAAGTGAAATTCTAAAGTAATTGAATAGGCCTAAGTAGTCTTTTGACAAGAAGGAGAGAACTATACATATAGTGTTTATGATATGCCTATAATATCTATAGGTGAAGACTTTGTTGAACATACGTTTAATTTGTTCCCAATATATTATTTGAAAACAAGTGAATGGCGTGCTGTTTATTTATCGTTGAATTTATCGCCAACAAGTCACAGACATCTACTGTAGAATAATCCAAAGCCCAACAACAACATATAATATATTTATACTATTAAAAAATATGAGTAAAAGCTTTTTATTTTGACAATTGGCGAAAAAGAAGAATATATATATATATTTTAAATTCTGACAAAACTAAACAACCTATTGGTACTTGCTGTCCAAGATAACTCGTATATTGAAACACTTTGGTCTATCTAATTCCTCTGAACAATAATATAACTTTATGTTTAAGTACTTATTTTCATAAAACAATGAATATTGAAATAATTAATAGATTTTCATTTCAAAACTATGAACGTCAAATCCATCCATCAATATTTTTTGAAATGTTTCAGACTTCGAGAAATTTTACACCATCTTCAACATGGTGAAGTACCAATCAATGTCATACAGAAATCGTTACAGTACGCTGCAAGTGTCCTGGAAACTGCAACAACGAGCGAATCTAAGTAAGTAATTTCATCTTAACACGTTTATTTGTTTGTTTTTGAATTTCGCGCAAAGCTACACAAGAGCTATCTGCACTAGCATTCTCTAACTTAGTAGTGATAGACGAGAGGGAAGACAGCTAGTAAAAAATACCCACCGCCAATTCTTGGGCTACCTTTCTAAAGAATAGCGGGATTGGCCGTCACATTATAATGCCCATGTGGCTGAAATGGCGCGCATGCTCAATGACGGGGATTCGAACTCGACCGTCAAATTGCGAGTCGGACGCCTTAATCACCAGGCCATTTTATACCTTCTTAAGTTCTGGTTTGCTTTAGTTTCTAATGTTTGCTTTTTTTAGTAAGACCGATATTTAAGGAAAACTGAAATAATTACAATTGAAATGAAAAAAAATGAAATTTCAGGTTTAAAACCTAAAATTCAAAATATTATTTACTTCTAAAGCAATGGGCTAAACAACAAGATACGTTATTTTATAATTGTTGTTTGCAATATGTTTTCACAAAAAAAATCGTCTCTACCCTACTATGAAACCCAATGTTAACAATCCTTATCAAGACAAAAAGGTGCCAAAAAAGGCTTTAGTGTGTGGCTTAAAGGAATGAAATCAAAATTGGTGGCCAAACTGGTAGCTACACTTTCAGAATAGATAAGAATTTTAGAGCAAATATCCAATCATTAGTTAACTAGGCCCCGTATTTTGTTTTACCCATCATCATGGCCCAAGTTGAACAAAAAACTCTGCCTGGCTAACTAATGAATGAATATTTGCTGTAAAATTCTTATCAATGCTATAAGTGTAGCTACCAGTTTGGCCGCCAATTTTGATTGCATTATTTTAAGCCACACACTCAATCC